CCCGTATCGTACTACGAATGCGATTCAGCGTGCAGCGATTGTGAGGCTTCACATTGTAATTAAGTGAAGATCTCCCAAACGATTTCTCATTAACTAAGTTGATCAAACACCGGCAGTCTGCTTAAACAAACAGGTAAATTTGAGTTCCTCTTTCAAGTGGAGTACAGTTTTCGGCAGTCCTCTCTAATTTTGACGCATTTTGAATGCCCTCGGGTCAGATCTGCATCAATAACACACACAGGCACACACTGATCTTTGTCTAACAGATACCTAACCACGCAACCACGGTTTTTTTTCTTGACGAGCTAAATCCAAATACAATGAATGCACTTGACCTAAATCAAATGAACTCTGCAACCCGGAACGCGGATGATGGGATTGATTCGGTTCACAGCTCACGACACAGTACACACTTAGTGCTGAGGTGGTGCGCTAACCACCTTGCCTAACATAACATTGGTTGTAATCTATCACCTTGGTTACAGAAGTGGGCAAATTATTCCCAGTTGACAATCAACCGAACAACAACCACAACAAAAACTCAATGCAGAATAGGGTGCCACGACAATTAGGCGTTGTTTGCTAATCGTCTCATTTAACAAAACACATTGGTTTGAATGCGAATTGATTGCTTGTTCACACACAAAAACACATACAAAACAACTGAAATGAGCATGTGGGTAATTGAATGCTCATTGTTCTGCACTCCGGTTCTTCAAATGTGCATCACATTTGGTGAATAACAATCACAAAAATCATTTTAAAAGAAGGATGGGCTTGATTTCAGTATCTACGCTATTTTTTGCCCTATCGGACCAAGTGAGGATGCCACGAGAACATACTTAGAGAGAAATTGGTTCCTCAAGGACGATAATAAATAAAACTTCTAAGCAGAAAACTCCCCGATAAATATGTTTCATCTTAATTACCACCAATGAAAATAGCTAACCGTTTCATTACTGTTCGGCTTCGTGGCATTGGGATACGTCCTGGGACTGGAGCACTTCAAATCGAAAGTGTTACACTTTTATGTACACTTTACAGCTCGGGCTAACTACAGCAGTCGGCTTCTTGTGAGCGCTAAAACATGAATACCTTAATAACAGCGCTTCTGATAGATTTTGACTAATACAGTTCATAGCGTCGTTGTATATAGTGTATATTTTCGATCGATGTTTCAATGGGAAGCATTAACTGATTGAAATCCACACTCCTGTAGTGTGTATGGCGATTGTGAAAAGTTCAGTAGCCTCGGTAGGATTCGAACCCACGCATGGACGCCGCCTACGCTTTGTACGCGCACGTTCTACTAGCTGAGCTACGAGGCCACACCGATAGCACTGATCTTTTCACAATCACCACACAACCTTCAAATCTGCTAAACAACATTTTGAACTCCTGTAGTTGTGTGATTTATCTAATCTAGTCACACGCAAGCAAGTAGATACCCTAAGACCCTCCTGTGGCTTATACTGTGCTAACAAACCCTCCTTGCCACCGAAATACTATATTCATAAATTAGGTGAGAAAAATTATCTTTTGCAGTTTAGAAACACTCTGGGTTAACACAGTTCGACTTTTCAGTTAAGATTTTGTTCATATTTGGAGAGTTATCTGAAGAGAGACCCGAACGCAATGGTTAAGACGAAGAGAACCTTTCTAATAGGGTTGATCTTAGAAAATGAAATGCATTCATGAAATATCGGAATTCAGTAAATGTGTGAGAGCGCTGAATAGTCAGGAGTAAAGTGTTTTACATAAATACACATTTTAGCAATATGATAAAGTGGAGGGAGATTATTCAGGAGATGAGAGGGTGAATCAAATATAGTTTGGATAAGTTACCACAAATTAGCTTCTTAAATAGTTGTGGTTCAAGATGTAGAAAAGCATTCATAGTAAAGTGTGGACTGTTGACGACTATCAAAACCAATCATCACTGTTTCAAAAAAAGATATACTTTGAGTCCGCCAGAGCCAAGTGTCTTCCGTAGCTTAACACAATCAACAAAAGTAAACACACTGTAGAAGATACACAGAAAAACAGAATACGTTTTTTTGGTTGGCCCTAATGTGAGCATAATGATAATACACACGCACTTCATGTTAGTTTTTGGAGTTCAAATCCAGAACGCAGGGGTGAATATGCAGTACTGATCAGCTCTAGTTAAATCGAAGCGCGAGCCTAGTGCTGACCGAGTTTGCAGGGTGACGGAATGGACCGAAGATTGTGTCTGAAGATAAAGCCTGTGGGGAAATTACTAGGAATGAACAATTAAAAGTATTGACCCGGTGGTGGAGGTGAATTCTTACTGTCTGGGGAAGAAAAAATATAGTAATATGGGATAGAAATACCAGGTGGCCTGGAACCGAAGCTTCTGCAAGCAGTCTGGCAGGCTTCGGTATATTCAACACATGCTATCGCTGTAAAAGGATCTAAAAAATCTCTAGTGTAACTGTGCTACACGCTTTGGTAGAACTTTAATACTAATTTTTTGGAGGATAGTGGGTTCATCTCCCGCCAACAGTTTAGAATGCACCTGGGGTAAAAACTATGGTCATGAATTGAGGCCAAAACTATGCATTTCCTCCAGACTGACTAAAGGAACCGTTCGGGCAGCCGAGGAAACTCAGGATTGCGTTGGTGTCCCGTCCAATGCAGGCACCAGACGGAAAGCTCCTATTTCTTCTGAATTGGCCTGACCTGAATCAAGTTTGTGATCACCACTGTGTGCCAAATATTTCTAGTGAAAACAACTCTAGATCGTTGATTATACCAGCTAAATTATAACTATTTATTCTACAGAGAATTCTCTTTCTATGGCTCTCCTCGCAATACAGCAAACCGTTATGGGTCTTCAGTGAGCCACGATTATCCCATTATCACATACGTTCAACCGTTTATCTTATATTTTGTGTGGATACTCGGGAGGAATGACGTTATCTAATCCCAAAGTATATTTGTCAGATAAAAGGTTAGTAGAAAAAGCAGCGCTGAATAGATATCTTACCATGAAAATTAGTCACTGGGATAGACGACTTTGTTGATAAACGCCGGTAATGGGTAGACCAAATATGAGTCGGATAATCGTTAAGCGATTAAATGGTTGCTAAGGCCCATCAGTATTGTGCGTATGTGTGTGTGCATGTGTATACCAATATGTGAATCAAACATAAGTCATTCGTGTCTGGGATAGGCTGCCAGTTGATGCAGCTATAAATGAGATAGACAAGGAGACAAAAAATCCAAAGCTAGACAAGTAAGCTTCAAAATAAATCATTATAAAGATAGTAGTAGTCCAACTGGTATCCTAAGAAAGAAACGGGAATTCTTTTCAATTTCAGAATAGCTCTTTAGTCACGATGCTACTTGTGTGCAGGTAGCATGAAAAGACCAGATTGTTTAAGGACTTGTGAACATTCGTACCGAATGGGCCAAGTTGTTTAAATGATTATATAATGAGATGAAGAAGTGGAGACTAAAAGGCCAAGGAGCACTGCTCGGCCGCCTCAAATATTTTTTGCCTACCATTGATGAATAAAATTGAAAACTGATAAAACGAAGCAATATGAGTATAAACAGTCTTACGACATTCGCCAAAGTGTTAATAAGTCAGTACTAATTAAATTCTTCCCGTAGTGTATGTCGTATCAAGTTATCGTTAACTAGCTGATTTATATAAGCTCAACACATGAGTCATTTCAATAATCGATCCCTTAACGATGGAAAATTTTGAATCAACAGGCTAAAGTGAGTGGTTATTCCCTCATAGTTCCATAAGCGTCGAACCAAAAGTTCAATTGCCGTTGGAAATCTTTGTCTCGATATTTGCCCATTGTCAAACTGGATGAAGTTTTCCATTTTTCATAAAGTTCTTTCGAATAAATCAATAAACGAGCGATATATACCGTTCTTTCTTCCCGTATTGCATTTTTACATTCTTGGAAAACAAATCATAATCTACGATGAGAAATCAGTCGGATTAGTTAACGTCATTTTAAATCAAGTTGTCACTTATGAACATTCAAGCTGCCCTGTGAATGATCACTTTTTTGGAACTCTAGATTACTTCACTCCATTTGGTTTAACTGCTTTTAAACTCAGTGAAAGCTGTTCACAGGGACCATCAATTATTTAGACAAAAAATCATGCATTCACAACCGCGATGTTATATCTGAACGTAATCGAAGAGAAAAAGCTGCATCTAAGAGTTGTATGTTTGCTGCCCTAAGTGTAATGTTTTAATTTTACTTCTATATCACTCACTGACATGAGTACAAATCGGCATTTGGATGGGTCGGTGCATAATTTCGGGGATGCAGTAAAAAGGGCATTCTAAGTATCGAAGCTTTCTTCACACGTGTCATTCTTGTCTAGCTAGTACCGTCTGTGGGATAATCAAGTGCTTGGACTGGTCTTATTTTGTCACGAACCGGATTCCAGTACTTCTTGATGCTCTCTATGGAGGTTTGTGACCTTTTGGTGCTAAGAGATCTCGTACCCTGCAAAAACTTGTAACGTTTCTATACATCTTTCCATACAACCTCCGGCACCGCTGACTCAGTGAAGTGATGCTTATCCATTCAGGGTTAACAACCTAAGTTTTAGTCCTCGTATTCTCAATGAAAACAATAATTTGGGTTTATGAAAACCATAGCTATCTGATTACGCCCCTATGGTGGGCTTCATCGATACAAAACTTATCAGTCTGCTTTTAGCTGTGTCCCAATGTGTTTGCTGGGGGGATGGTTGAGGGGTTCCCTTCAATCCAATACATTGTTGGACTGTCCAAAGAGGATACTTTAAAAAAACACTAAGTGAATGAATGAACTCATGGGGGATTCACAAGCAGTGCATTTTTGCATGCAATAGTTATTCTCAATGACCCATGATAAATAAACATAAATACCAACCAGAAATCAATGATCCACTGAAAATTTCAGTGATCCTGGATTGAACAGCATCGTATGTGTTACAGATCGAACTTTATTAAAATTCGTATGATTAATCTTCACCATTATGTCTCCATCATTCCCACAGGCGAGAGACCTGCACCACGTATTCCACTCGTGCGCCAAGCCTCTGATCCGCTTAGTCATCCAACCTCTCAACGTGGCCTCGCTGTGCCCGGTCCAACCGGACTTAGTGGTCAATGGCCAAGTGGTCTTACCGAGCCCGGATTGGCCAGCTTACAACCAGGTCAACTGCCCCTCTTCCAACAAGCGTTGCTCAGTCCGCGCATTCAGACCGGGTTAAAAGGGGCAGATTTGTCTGGCCGTGGCCTCCTTGGAGCTCCGTATCAGACCGGGGCTAATTTGACTGCAATACAATCCCAAATTGGTCGATTAAATTTAAATCAGTTGCAACAGTTGCATCAGCAGCTATTACAACAGTATGATCAATTGCTCAGGCAACAGCAACAGCAACAACAGCCAGTTCTACCTGTGGATCAGACAACAACCGGTAGGTTGTTTGGCATTGTTCACATCCCGTTTCAGTTGCATCATGCCATGCCGTTTATTTGTACTGCACAATTTCTTAGTAACGTATAGGCTATTTTACCTTCAGGAAAATTCACCAGGAAGAGCAAAAGCACCAGGTTTGTCAAAACTATCGGGATTCGAATCCGATCACCAAGGGCCACATGTCCGGAAGCCACGCTTAGTGGCTGCCTAGCTTGACCATCAGTAGGTTGACTCATATCACTAGAAGATCATCAATGATCGGTGACGGGAATCTTGTCGTCTGGTTTCACATAAGACCAATCGGTTCAACGTCGCCTACCGGAAGGACTCAACCACTGAATTTGAGTTTGACTACCGAACATACATGAGGTGGTGAATATCACCCACCAACTATTACTAACAAGTAAATTTTGACTTTGCAAAAACCAAGAACAAATCATTCAGGAGTACTTTCCTGAAAAAGCTGTTGCAACACCTTTAAACTTGCCTGGCATTGATTTCAGCACAGTCAGTCAAGCCAAATTACCTACAACTGCTACGCGAAAGTTAGTCAAATATGTATTGATGTTTCAGACCAGAGGCACAGGAATTGTTATTGAATTACTGAATAGTTTGAGTGTTGAATTGAGACCACTCGGTGTCACCTTAGTGATAGCAGTAAGCGTTATCTTCTTAATGTTCTCGCAAAGTTTGTCGTATGGGTCATATATTTCCGTACGCTTGTAATGCATGTATTGCCCAACTTAAGTAGCATGCGAACTTCCATTATTAGGTGAGGTTGCTTCCCATAAAATCAAAAATAGACAATGTCTAACATTCTTTTATTGCACCATTGAAAATATTTAAGGATAACTGTTGATACTTGAACATAAACTGTTTAACGGGGAGTTTCTCATAAAATTCTGATCAGCATTACATTGCATTTCCATACCACGGGCTTGTGGGAGTGTTAATGAGACAAATCAATCAAAGCCCAAAGAAAGAAGGCGGTTGAAATCATAACTGTCGAAGATAGATCTATGATTCGGTGGCTCACAGTATGAGAGTCACTCAACTACAATGAGTGAGTGAGTCAGCCAATCAGTCAGTCAGTCAGCTAGTGAGTCGGTCAACTAACCTGTCTGTCTGTCTGTCTGTCTGCCTGCCTACCTGTCTGTCTGTCAGCCGCTTGTTGGTGACCAGTATACCTAAGGCAGTTAGATCCTTACCAATGTATGCTAACCAACTGCTTGCATGACACATGTCACGTGTTTAAGTTCATCATCACAGGAATACGAATTCAAATTCCAACACCGCGGTACAACGTTTCCCATTCTCCGAGGATGCAGCGCCTCGACGGCTTCTGTCTAGCCTCTCTCCTGAAAGTTGTCTGTACACTTATACGTTCAGTGAAAGGAAGTGGAAATAGTATTTCTATTAACAAAGTATTGAAAATCGATTCTCGTAGTTGACGTTAATTGAATTCCATTTCGCCTGATCGCCGAGCATGGCAATTTGGTTACAAACATTTCATCACCTTGGCTAGTGATGAAACGTTTGTGGAGATCTGTTTCAGGTGATCACTCCATGTGTGCAAATCACCTACTTCTCATTTTCATTGGGTTTTTATTACCATCACGGACTAGTCCCAACAAGTCAGTCTCATAATACATATATATATATATATATATATATATATATATGTATAGTGTAAGAGTTTCGAGCAGATCGGATTCCTCCAGAGACACATCACAGAATGGGACTTGATATGAACCACACACAACGGAAACATCGTCAGCATTTGACAGGCTTCATTCCTCGTCCAGAACATTGTACATCTGTATACTCAGTATATACAAAGACGCATATATTTTACAACAACCGATATAATTTTGTGAGTTACTGCAAATGAAGAACCACTTTATCCTGTAGTTTGGATTCAGTGCTTGTTGTTTATTGTCTCAACAACAAAAATAACAACTGCATTCGTTCGGCTGGACAGTTTAAATCACTAAACCTGAGCTACATGCGCTGCTGATGGCTAACGTCTTGCTCGATAAATGAGCAACAAATGAGCATTGTTCTCTTTCCGGTTATCCAAATTCAATGATACCAGATTCTGTATTTTGTGTTGGCCTCACTCCTGGAGAGTGAGTTGATTCCCCGCGGGATAATAGCTTTCGAATGAGACTAAATTCTATATATGATGGCCAGAAAAGAGCATTGAACAGCGAGTTCTTCTGTTCTTGCTGAGATTCATTGACTGGGATGAAATGTTTCGCAAAGACGGGAAGTGCTCATTAAATACGTTATCATACTGGGGATATTAAGTCATTTTTGGGAATCACTTCTTTCCCCTGAGGCTTCGTGATGACATGGATTTTGCACATTTAAGTTCATTTTGTTTTGTTTGATAGTATTC